CGGTGGGTGGGCGGTAAGGGGGGTCGTGGTGGTGACAGAAGTGCTGCCTGCGTGCCGATGGAGAAGCGGGGAGGATGCGGTGAAATCTAGTTGGGGTTGTGTGCGTGCTGGTATTCACACTGACAGAGTGTGTCTCGCTCGTAACCTTCTCTAGGTCACTCCTAATTGTGACTGTAAGTAGGATGGATTTTCCGGCATCTTTTAGGTCTTAATTCTTAACGCAGAATTGGTTTATTTAGGAAACATACCTTTGCAGATATTTGAAAATGCACCAGCTTTTTATAAGTGAGAATGGGTAAGTTCGCCGTATCCACTTCTATGTCTTTCACCCCCACAAAAAAAGGATCTACTGGTTGCTGCTTAGGGACACGGGATGAGATACCCAAGAGATCTTAAACTTAGTTTTGAAGTGTTTTGATATTCTTAGTTTTACAAGAGAGAAAAATGGGGCTTGAGACTTACCAGTTGAAAAATGTAAATGCTAACTAATGCTTTTTTTTTTTTTTTTTTTTTGGAAGAGAAGGAGAAAGTATCACAAGGGTGAAGATTCCCAGGATGCAGTAATTCATTGCTTTGTTTTGCCATTTTTAGGAGCAAAGCGAAAAACTAGGCTCTTTGACTTTTCTTGTCAAAAAGGTGTCTTCAGTTTACATCATTGTTGCAGATGCACAGGTTTACTCATTTTCTTTAGTATAATTTCTTAGCTTTTTCTGGAAAAGCTGCATTACATTGCCTTCAATTATAGGAGAATTGTATTTTGGCTTTGACTGGTGGATATCTCTTGAATGTAGGTTTCTCAGACTGGGCCCTGGAAGAAGAGCGCTCTGTTTTTCTATTATTTGTTTTTGTTATTCTCTAGTGCCTTGTTAAGCCAGGTGGTTAAGAGGCGCTGCTGCTTTTGATGCTTATCACTTCCTGAAACAATTAAAGAACAGTAATATCCTTATTCAGGAAAAAAAAAATCTAAAAGCAGAAGAGGTGACTTAGTTTCTTCCCAACTGTCCATTAAGTAGTGGTTGGTAGAGCTATCCAAGCAATAGCAAGGTGTTTGTTGTACTGTTTTGACATTGTAAACGATATTGACATGGAAATTGGAGGAAGTTATTTTCCTTCTTGGTAGTTGTGAACTAAGCTTTTTATAAATCATGCATACAGAACACCTACCTACTGTATAATGTATTGAACACTCAGGAAGCTTCATCAAAACAACATTAACATTGCAAAACAGGAAAGGCAGCAGATTCAGAAATGCAAGTTTTTGAAATGCACAAGGCTTTTTGATGGGAGATACTGCCAGTTGGTTTTTAGCTTTGATGCTCTGACTAAGACCTGATGTGACTTGTAGGAACAGCTATTTATGTGCTGGCGAGTATTGAGTGTGATGGAATCTTTGAGGAGTTTTGCAGCTCAAGCAAAGAGAGCTTCTACTCACCCTGTGTGAGATGCCCCCCCAAACTTCAAGGGAGAACCTCTCCCCCTCTCTCCCCCTTTGTCTTCCATTTGAAGTGGTGGAAGTTTTGTAAATGTGGTAAGCAACTGTAAATAAATAGATACGTTGGAGAAATTTAATTTAATTAAATTTGTGCTGTTTAGCACAAATAAGTCTACTCACAGCATTTCTGTCTTTAATATAAATAATTCAGTATTTCTTTAAACATCAGGAGTTGGTAGTGTGGATGTGGTGGAAAGGGCCTTCTGAGATGCAAAAGACGGTGTGATACTCCATTTCCACTGATGTATCTTGTAGCTTGACAAATATTTCCTTTGGGGCCTTTTCTGATGTAAGTAGCCCTGTTGTTTCCAAGCCTGTTGTATGTCCTCAGCTGTACCAGTGCTACAGTGTGCACAGCTGCAGGGAACTGTTCTGAATTAAATTCAGATTTCACAGTTTGTTTGCCATACATTTACACAAGTTTGTGGTTGGGGGAGATGAAGCTACTCTAGTGTTGGAAAAAGTACTTATCACACTGTGACTGTAGTAGTTAATCACTGACTGTACTGACCTTCAGGCCTTTGAAAATCTGGTCCGTTAATGTGCTGTAGTTATAGTTCTGACATGTACATACAGTTAATGTTTTCACTTTTTTTCACGGGTTACGTAAGAACATAGAAATGACTGTACTTGATCACATTGAAGATTCCTCTAGCCCACTATCCTGCCTCTCTGAGCTGCCAAAAGCAGATGCTTGGAGCAGAGTATAGTGTATATTGAGGAAATACCTCTCCCAGCCTCCAGTAATTTGTGGCTCGCAGGTTTCCGGAACTAGAGGTGATATTTGTTTTTAGTGCCCCCAGTGGGTTTTTTCTTCTGTGAATTTGTCCAATCAGTATTTGATGCCATGTGTGCTTGTAGCATCCACAACATCTTGTGGCTTAGTGTTGTAAGGCTTAAACACATTTTGTGTGGAAAAACCACTTCTTTTTGTTTGTCTTTGCACTTTCTACTGCTTGTTTGTTAATTCTTGTGTTGGAAGAAGCAGTGAAAAAGAGGATCCACGTTCTTCTCTGTGGCTAACGGCTTGATAACTTTTTTATTTTATTCCTCAGCCCTTGCCTGTGACTTTTCCAGAGGAGTTTTAGAAAGAAGTGACTCTGTCCTTTTCATTGTCCTTGCTCTTTTCTTTGCACCTGTTCCAGGTCTGTTTCTGGTTGGAGATGGTGATGAAGGGATCAGAGGAACAAGTTTGGGGAACAATAACCAGGACTGGCTACAGTATTTCAGCGTATGACACGTTGTGAACTTATATAGTGTATATGGTTTTATTCTTTAATCTTCTACCTGCTTTTTCTTGACAATGTTTAAGCGTGGAGTTGGCATTTTTGTGGAACTGTCTATGATAACTCCACAATCACTCTTTTAAGTGGTAATAGCTAGTTCAGAATTTGTCATTGTGTATCTAAATGTAGGATTTTTTTTATGCTGTACATCACTTTACGTTTATCTGCATTTAATCTTATCTGCTATTTTACAGACCACTTAAACAGTGTCATTAAGGTCTTCTTCAGATATTTGGCCATCACTTTTGCAACCTTGAATAACTTTAAGCATTGTCAGCAAACTCTGTCACGTAAGTGCTAAGCTTCCTTGGGAGATTTTTGCTTTAAGATGTTGAAGGTATCGACCCCAGAACAGATCCTTGTGAGACTTCACTGGTGATCCTTTTTTTGGGAAAAAGGCGAATTGTTACAGTTTCTGCTTTTGTATCTGTTAATCATTAATTTGTCGTTGAATTGTCCTCCTTATTCCATGATGGTTTAGTTTCATTGAGTGAGGGCATGTTTGTTGAACACAGCCTACTTGGGTTTCTGTAAAATATCAGCTTAATTATAACATGTTTGCTGAGTGCATCGAAGGAGAAAAATGGAAAGTTGAGGTGAAAGTTATTGTTGATTAGGAGTGACAGTCACTCTCATTCAGATGCGTATTCTAAGCATTAGATTGTTTCCGTATCACACTTACATAATTAGTTTGAGACATTGTGATATTTATTGTGAAAGATCTCACATGGATCATAGCCAATATTTGTCAGAAGTGCTTTTATTACCATTTTCTACTTCAGGTAGTAGTCAAAGGTCAAGGTTCTTATATAAAGGACTCTTCAGTGTCTGAAAGCTGTGACTTAAGGGGTTATGATGGAGACCATGGTTGGTATGCAAGACCATGGTTGGTATGTAGAGGGTAGACAGCAAACAGCAAATGACTGTTTCCTCTAGTATTAAGCTAGGAGTCAGACCTAAAAAAGAGAATCTTCATGCAAAAGGTAATACACGTGTGGGTTTTTTTGTCCATGGTCGCAATGGATGCAAAAAGCATTCATAGTTGAATTGCTGGGAGAGGGATCTAGTGAAGATTATTAAACAGGCAGGCTGCATCCACCTGAGGAAAACATCTGAAATTAACTACCCTCTGAGAGAACATCAGAACAGGGCAGATACATGATGCTTCCCTTTACTTGGCTGTAGAGAATGCCTCTGCTATTTTTCTTTTCATAAGGAATGGGTTTTAGCCTGTCCCTAACAAATCTGAATCCTGTCTTCTGAAAGCAGGGGGATAATACACAGATAAGAGCAAAGCTGAGGTATTGTGGAAGGTCTAGGGGGATGGAAGTTGAGGGTCAAAAGAGTAAAAAGAGAGGACACTGGGCACTGAGTATCACTGAACAGCATCCTCTGCTCTGGTGGCATCCAGGGAACTAGTGTGTGCTGTCCAGTGGTGCCTTGCTTGGAGGTGTGACAGGACAGACCCCATGCTTGTCAGCGTTTTACCCTCACCTCTGTGAAGCTTCTGTCTCCTCTTGCTATGGATGTCAGAGAGGATTTACGAGTAGATTCCATGACTTTGTGACTTTGTAGGATAATAAAGAGATGAAGGGAAAAACAGTAGCAGAATCTCAGCACGCCCCCTGGTAGAGGGACGGCAAGTTGTAGAGGCAGGATTTTTGGGTTAGACGAATCCTTTGTCTTGTATAAAGTTTAACTTGGCTCCTGCTGACGGAGAGTTGGACTGAAACGTTGCTAAACCTGGATGCTCCCCTGCTTGCATGTATGTTCATTGTATGGGAAATGTTCGTCTGATGCCAACAGACACATTGCATACATAACATCGAGAAAGATTTAAAACCTCCTTAGTCCTGGTTAGTTTTGTGTTGGGGGAGCCCTTTCTATAGGGCAGTCAGTGCAGCAGACTGTCTCCAGTAGTCAATTTTGATGTACTTGGAGAAGGCTGATCTTATGTGTTCCCCATACACCACATTTTGTCATTCCTGCATTTGATAAAAAGTTTTTCCTGAGCTTTGAACAAGGTAACTGACTGAACAATCAAATAATTTAACTATTGTAGTAATTTGGAACTGTAGTGCTACAAACTTTCTGAGAGTAGCAGAAGTTTTCCTTCCTTTCCATGTCTCTTTGAAACTTTGTAGATCTGTATGTCCTGAAGCCAAAACGAATTGCTGTGGTTATCCAGTATGATTTCCCCACATGTGCAGGCTGTGGAGCTTTCCTCAAAGATACATTAAAACATCTCTCCTAGAAACTGATCTTATCTTAGCCTTAGATCATGGTGTGTCTGTCACCTCTTCTGGAAAGCTCTGCCAATGTTTAATTATTCCCGCAGTTAGGAAACTAAACCGCATCTTATTTCAAGGCTTGTTTTGTCTACTGTCCAACTTTCAGCTGTGGAATATGCCTATGCTAGCACAGGCAGTAAAAATTCTCTACTATCTAATATCTTTTCCATGTATAAGTATTTGAAATGCAAAATCTGGCTCCAGTTGGAACGGAAGACACTGAGGTCTTTTGCTTTCAGCACTTTGTGCTTTCCCCCTGATTGTACTTGGAGTGTGTGCACCAAAAATAGGTAGTATTCTGGCAGCAGCCTGGAATAGTGTGATCACAGATGAGGTTACTTCTCCACTACTGTTTGATACTACGTTTTGGGGATGGCATTACTGTGGTTGGGAGTGTGGTATGAGAGAGTTTTATCACATTATGCCTATGTGGATCTTTCTACTCCCTGTAGTCAGGACATTGTGCAAATTGGTCCAAGACTACTTAGAAACATTACGTTAGAAAGCTTATTCCCCTTTTCATGTTGTCTTTTTTTTTTTTTTTTTTTGTTTTCTTAAAGGAGTGTCAAATGATCTTTTACACTGACTTCTCACCCTGTTCATTTTTTTGGAAAGCAGTCAGTGACCGGCAGGGAGAAACTGGCCAAACCCCAGAGTGCTAGTCAGATTTGTTTTGCCTTCACAGCTGCAAAGAAGCTATTACCATGCTTTCCTTGCTGCATGGCAAGCCTGGAAATTGAAGAGATTTTTCTTTTTTCCTAATCAGAACTTCTGTACTTCAAATATCATAAGCATTGGCTCTTTTTTCCTTTTCCCTCTAAGTGCCATCAGCGCTATTAAAGGCGGTACCTCTATTGTGCCGAGCCCTGTATGTAGACTGTATAACAGTTTGGTGGTCTTTGTTTATTTCTATCGTGAGTCTTCCTTTTGTTTCATAGGTAAAAAAGCAAGCTTTTGGAGTTCCTTGGCATTTTGCTACTGAGCTTTCCCTATGCCTCTCTCAGGCTGCTGATCAGAGCTCTGTTTCAGCTCCTCTTCTGCTCCCCCAGCTGTGGACCCCATGATTAACAGCTCACAAGACTCAAAGCTGTTTCTTCTAACTTCATATCAAAACCTACAAGCTGGGATGAAACTTAATCTGAATAAGATGGAAGTTTATTTCCAAAATTCAAGCAAATAAACAGAAACAAGTGTATGTATTGCTAGCAACGTGTTTGCATTTGCAAAGAAGTGTAGTTTTTAATATTCACATTACAGATTCCATAAAAGCAAGTATAGATTAAACATAGCCAAATATGTCCTGTAAGCATCATTGACTCTTCTTGTCAAAGGAAGGATGGTCTGCTGCTGAATTCTAGAAGATCAGGAACCATCTGTTTACCTGAATACTTCCAGGTACCTATTGTTGCCATTTAGGGATGATTTTAGGGCAATTCTGCCCTGTGCCTGTTTCACAAAGGAAGCTAAAGAAAGTCTTAAGGGAGACATTGGCAAAGGCTCCTAAATTACAAGCTGTGGATGTGACATACCATTAAAAATTTAGTTACTGTTTGTAGACCTCAGACTTCCTTTTCCCATCTCCCTTTCTTTGTTGCTGTCTAGCTCTTTTTCTCATTACAGGGAGACAGCAAAAAATAACAGTGGTTTTTTTTTTTTTTTAGTAAGAAGGTCCCAAGTTCTAGTCTATAAAGCTTCTAATATGGGGAACCAGAGTCCAGAGTGTATGGTTGGCTGGCAGGCATTCTTACTTGTCCTCAGAATTTAATTTCATAAGTTTATCACCTTCTCTGTGGAGAAATAAAGGTAGGGATGAAGCCAGAGCATAGCTGTGGAAGAAGGAGCTGTTCCCTATGACATGTGCGGTTCTGTCTCTGTTTTCTTTATCCTTTTCCTGAGGAGGCAAGAAAAGAATCCAGAAAGAACAAACCTCTCAATGTCCTACAGGTATGTCTCACTGCCTTCCATAAGCTGATTCTTGTTGATGCCAGAGATACTCCTGCTTGGCTTCTTCATTAGTTGTAGTTTTGCCTTTTTGTATTTTGATCAGGCAGCAATGGCAGCTGCCAGCAAATTGTTGCTCTGAGTTCACTTTTATGTTCTTACTAATGTTTAGAAGTACGGGGCGGGGAGGAGAGTGACTGAAGAAATCTAAAAGCAGGCAAAGGGGAAGAGAGTCAAGTGATCAGTTCTGCACTGTGCTTGTTTGATAATAACAGAATTTAGCCAAAAGATTCCTCTAAAAGGAGACAAAAGGAACGTAGAGTCAAGTGACCAATTCTGCCATGGGCTTGTTAGGTAATAGCAAAATAGAGCCAGAGGGCATATGGCACTTCTCTGGCCTGATATAATAAAAACATCACCTCCCTCAAAGTCGAATATTAATAGACAAACCTAATTTGTTTAAATTGATTTGTGTAAGTCAATAAGTAGGTAGACATTGCATCAGCAGCTTAGATGATTCAGCTCACTGATGTGAGATTTCAATTTCCTGTCACAAGTGAAGAGTAAGAGCAAATATTGTGTATTAGTCACATTAATTTCATATCTTGCATATTAGAATAGCTAAGCAGGCAGTGGAGAGATTATGAATATGTAGGTGTTCATGTTGCTCATGATTTGCATCTGACTTCTGCAGTGCACTGTATTTCTTGTCCAAAAGGAGTATAGGAGTGAAGGAGCAGAAGTGGCTGGATTTGTTGTGGGACTACTTGTCTTTATAATCATAATAAATTATTAGCTTGAAGGGAAAAGCTGCTGCTACTTAGTATTTGCAGAGCACTTGAGGATAATAGTGGGGTGCTGCCCAGGGGTTAGGATAAGGCATCTACAAAACACTCAGGAAGACTGTGGATATATTCATGACTGTAAGCTTTGGGAAACCAAGTAATATCCATGCATATTGTGTTGGCGGAATGGGTGCGTGTTACTGACTTTATGCCTAGAAGTTGACTTAACTTCTTGAGCAAGCTCATTCGCCGCCTTGCACAAAGAACGTGAATGTTGTCCTGCCTGTCAAGGTAGTTCTTAGAGCCTCTGGAAGAGGCAGTTCTTTATTTTTATCTGATAGATTATGTTTGTTGCCTGAACTGACTTCTGTGCTCTGTAAGCCACCATAGCTTTGGTGCTTATAAGAAATGCACTGGATTATTATAGATACAATGACAGACATTTATTTAAAAGAAAAGGTTTTTTCCTCTTATTTAATTCTTATTCATGGAACCTGAGTATCTGAAGCTAAGGAAGCAGTGAAGACCACCAGGTTAGTGAACTGTTTGAGACTAAACCAAAAAGCTTTATCACCCGTCAAGACCTTGTTCCTCAAGAACCAAGCTAAGTAGACAGGTCATGTATAGTCTTAGCAATTTCATTCCCACATCAAATGATGATGTGCTGTGGTTAGTGTCTCTTTGTAGTGATGTAGTGCTATTTGAAGCCTGATGAAAATGCTGCTCTTTGGAGGAAGAAGCTGTGTCCTTAGTCACTCAAAGAACTTCTACCTTTTTGCAAGGAAGTGAAAAAATCAGTTTCAGGTGAGGAAAATATGCTGGTTTTTGATGTCTTGGTAGATGTCGCTCTTGGCCATAAGAAGTTGGTGCTCT